TCGGAAGAAGGTGAAATTAATCGCGATTATTATAAAAGATCAGAAATAAACGAATCGATCGAATCGATTCCACGAATAGAATCTAAAATCCGGAAGTCGCGATTCTTTGAAAAGTTGCCGCCGCAGGCTACCGGTTTTCTGCGAGTGCACGCGAACAAAAAGAGAGAGGAGAGGGTCGCGAGCAAGGTAAAAAAAGGAAGAGGAAGAAAGAGACGGGAGGAGGGGGCTACGATATCGGGAAGGAGGACGTCGTGTACCGCGTATCCGAGACATCGTACGTCAAAGGTTCGAGCCCGTGGGAACACGAGGGCAGAGATGCCTCCAATGCCGAGGCAAAGGCGAACCGAGTGTGTTCCCGCAGGTAGACGACCACGAGGAACGTCTACCGCGGCTGATGAAGCAGCACCACGAGGGAAACTGACTTTTAACATCCAAGCCAACCCGCTCCGATACCTTTCTATTCTACGATTACGAGTCGAAGTTTCGACAAAAGTTTAAAAAAAAAAAAAAAAAAAAAAAGAATTTCGCAAGAAAAATTCCACGTTTATCGATTTTATCGTAAGACGAGATGAGAAAAAAATATCGACCGTAGTAAAAGTTTGAAATTTTTGGAAAATGCGCGCGAATCCATCGTTCGTACAACTCGTTAACAACTCGTTCGTTTAAAAAAAAAAAAAAAAAACGAAACTAATAAAAGAGAGAAGGAAAACAATCGGATAGGATCAACGATTTAGAATTGATTTGCACGATTTGTACTCGTTCGTTTAAATTCGCAAATTTTTCATTATTTCAAATTAAACTAACTTCGGAGAGAAGTTGCAAGATAAAACGGAACGTAGGCGAACGTTTAATAGAAAGCGAACAAGCGATAGGAACAAAAGGAAGAAAAGAGGATAGGTATCTCCTCTTAGGTGACACCGCCGAAATATTCCGTCGGCATTCCTAGACGTTTTTTAGGCCTTTGTCAAGCACGGCGTCACTATGTCATCGAGATCGATACGATTCGATCGTAGTCTCCACGTTCGGATCTCTCTCCAACTTCGTTCTTCGTCCGATCCACGATGCCGCTCCATCGCGATCTTACGCGCGTTCCGAAAACCAACCGAGATTCTTATCCGTCGTGCGTTTATGATTTATATTCCGTCTCGACCAACCGCTCCACGATCCAATATGGAACGTATCCATCCACCAATTTATCTTCCAATTCCCTCGCGAATATCGTGAAAATCGTTTTCATTTCAATCGTTTAAAGATCGATCGATTACGTTACAGCCGTCCAACGGATTCTACGTGGCGCGTAATTGTTTCGGGTTACGATCGTTCGTAATGGTGACAAATAAGGGTGCGTTGGTGAAGTAATATTAATATTCATATTCACGGTCGAATCATTTGTTCCCCTGGCGCAATATCAATAACCTGACCCTACTACTAGTATCCCCTTCTTCGTAGGGATGCCACTTGCGAGAAGGGGACGATACTCGGTATTTAATTACCGTGAATCGAGGGGTGATCCGCCGTACAAGTATACAGCGGTTTCCTTCTAAATTGTTTAACGCTCTTCCGAACCGATCCAACGTCCGATCTCTTTCTTTCTACCATCAAACATGAAAATTCGTTTCAACATATATATATATATATATATATATATATATATATATATATTATAATA